AATGACTATGTATGGCGTGAAGACAGCGGTCTCCTCACTGACAAGACACATCTGCCAGTTAAACAGCTCAAGTTTGGGGATGCAGGCGGTAGTAACAAAGGTTTACACACACTGGGAAAACTGAAATGTTATGGTATAGCGTAACTGACCATCTTCACTTTAATTTTCATGCTTCAAGTTATGGCACTCTCAGTATTTGTAACAATCATTATTGTAATAATTTGTTTTCGTTGGGAAAACTGAAATGCTATAGAATGGCTTTAAAAAATCCTCACTGATCATTCTGCAATGCTCTGAGTTTTTTTGGGAAGTTCAGAATTATAAATGGGAAGTTCAGAATTATAAATAATCATCGTCGTTATATTTTTAAGAAGGAATCCACCAGAAGTTCGAGTATAAACAAGTAGACAAAATCTTTGTACCAAGATTATTTACACCGTATTGCAAACTTCTGTGCGACTGTATTAAATATCTTCTCCAAAGAAATCATTTCTAACAACATCAAATGTCGAAAAAATATTTTGAAGTTCATAAGAAACACTTGAAAGTACTGGTGAAATGAAACTGATGATGAAATTTTACCTGTGGTTGTACAATTTCTCGGACTTTTAAAATTTATTTTCTGGGGATACCATGGGAAAATTGTCTTTGGTGTAATTTCAGGCTACTATTTATAACTTCAAATTTAGAAAATGCGAAAAGGTTTTTAATATACTTAAAATTATTCTGGTACTAGGTTTTTGTCCACGGAAAACCAATATTACTCGATCCCCTATCGGATTTCGTCTTAAAAGGTTTTCAGTGGCAATACACTCTGACTTTTACAATATGTAACAAATACAAAGAGCCATACGCGAGCACATTCGCGTCTATTCAGTTTGGTGCTTTCCGTGATCTTGAGACACGCGTGTAATCATAAGGAGCTATGTCATGATATTTTACACCCGCTTTCAATGTTACGTGCATAGCGACTATCTTTCGACATGCCATGTAACCTGGCCTACGTCAAAATGTAAGCACAACGGACTTCTTTATATTCAAACTCAAGTTTTAGTCATGAAAGATGGATTTATTTGACATCAAACAAAGGTTAGGAGATCAAGAAGTCATTCTGTGAGAGATAAATCGACTGTTTTGAATGTTTCCATATTTCGAATATTAACTGAGCGGTAGGGGCCCAATTCTACCGGAAGTCACTATTGAGAGCCAATCGACAACACTAAAATCGTCTGAATTATCCCGTAAATCGGGAGCCCACAATCTTTTTCATTCACTTGAGGTCAGTAATTATCATACACTTGTCATTTGTTCCGCTAATAACCGGAAAAATTGCCAGTTTCACAGGTAAACGGTCTTTCAGCCGTTTACATAGCATGTCGAAAGATGGAATGCCGAGAGACGGTCGAAAGATGTTGCCTACGCATACACTGAAAGCAGGGTGTAAGTCATTTTCCTGCAAGGGTAGTTACCAATGAGATCAATACGGATATGAAAGATGAACTTGAAACAAAAAACTGATTAATTGTTTTATATTGCGTAATCCGTGAAGCAGCCGCAAACATGTAATATGGGCGGCGAAATACGAAATACATGAACCCTCAACTTGTCGCGCAACATGAGCAAATTTTGTTGCATGACAAGTTGTGAGTTTGAGGAAAAACGAACAACAAAGCCAAAATTTGTTGCACAAAGTAGACCCGTGCTCCACTTTTCGCAACAACTTTCTTCAACCCGCAACAAATGTTTTTGTTGCGCGACAACTTGATTACGCAAGGTGAAACTGAAAACGCGAAACATCGACCCAAAACTTGAAACGAAACAATGTTACGCGACAGGTTGAGGGTTTTTGTATCTCGTATTTCGCCGCCTTATAAAAGGAAGTGTTAGAAAGCCATGAAGGCAACGGAAGCAAACGATTTAATAAAGATTTAATGAGTATAACAATGGCTGTACATGTGCGTTCTAATTCTTGGTACATTTCTTTGTCGTCCTCTGCAAACAAGAACGTGAAATGACTAAATTCTGCGTTGTGTGGAGAAGGTGTACCACGAAGGCTAATTTTTTTAATTTTTATTTCATGTTTATCGCTGTGTCTCAGATCCAGTTTCGTGGTAGTTTTGAGATCCATGGGTAAAATACAAAATCGTTTTTAAACCACGTTGTCCTCGGTTTTGCGGTCCTAAAGAGGGACGAGTGCATTCTGGGCTCAAAACGAAAGTCTGTTATTCTCATATTATGGCTGAAAAATAAACTTTTGCGCTTTTAGCCGTAAGCATGCTTCGCCATCGACTATTCCGTGAACCTATAAGGTAATAAAGAATTAGCTGATACATTGCCTGTGTGTCTATCGTGTTATGGATGCCTTTATAAAGTTCGTTGCAGGCTCCCAGAAGATTTGAACTCCCTCCTGTTGATCTCAACTCCCCTCTCTAATGTCTAATTTCTAGGGTCTAATGTCTGTTGTTTTCGGGCTGATAAAATTGTAGCTCTGGGTACCAAAGAAAGGTTAGCTACGATTTTCGGTAAACCAATGCAATAAGACCTCAGGTTTTGGGGAAATGGACAAAAAAGTAAGTTCCCCTAGAATGACCTAAGCCTAAAAAATAACCTACTAAGCTTTAAAAGAAACCACATACAGTCTAATCCCCACTAACAGCCTCTTCACTACAACGGCCACTTTTTTTGGTCCCGGCGGACAATCCATGTATTTACTCTACCTCTCGTCAGTGGCCACCTAGCTAATCAACGACTGACGAACGGTATATACAAAACCCCATTTTTTTTGTTGTAAAAGGTCACGAAACGTGATCCATACCAAGCGTCGTTGGTCTCTGTTTTAATAGGTCTGTTTTCTATGTTACTGATATATTTTGATTGTGGTATGCATTTATATGCCACAATAAGAATTTTTAAACACCCCTAAAAAAAAAAACAGGTGTCATACTACACTCCTACAATCCCATACTGGCCACTTCTCGACAACGGCTACTTTCCTCTGTGTAGGGAGGTTTGATTGAAGTCTAAACCAGCGTTTAAAACCATCGCTGGGTGCCCCTGCATCTTTTACAGATCCTTTATAGCACTGACAGCATGCTATTCAATTCTGTCATTAAGATTATGATATGTACTTCCTGTGATACTGAATCACCATTACAAGCACCGACAAATCCAGCTATTTTTATCTCACTTCTGCTAACATCAAGATTCAGGTTACACTCTCATCAGTGAACTTCAAGCAACAAAAGCTTTTTATCGTCTTCACGTAAGCCATAAAACTCACAGTGAACTGGTCTGCAAGCAGCTCAAGAGCAAGGAAAACAACCTTGGCATCAGTTTGATATCTCGATCTGTTTGTTTGTTTTACAGTTGCAGTAATGAAACAATCAAGACAAGACAACGAACAGAAGCAGACGAACAGAAGACAAACACTGGACCGCTTGTGTTCCGGGTCAGGCTTGCTGTTGTCGGTTGTGTGTTGTATCGCGCTAATTCACGTGGAATTCAGAATACAAGAACATCATCGACTGATATCACACTCAGTAACATTCTGTGACAACATGGCGACAGAAATCCTTCGAAAAGTTCAACAAAATTATGAACGATGGCAAGTTAAGGTTTCAGGTCGCCATTGGCAATCGACCAAAGGTAAGTTTCATATCATGTAACTTATAAAAAAGGTTTCAGTCCTGAATCATTGTGGTGAGCGTCGTCTTCACCAACCATCGATATTTCTTTTATAACCGGAGAGGCCCTATTAGCGGCTGTTTCGAGACACGGGATATTAAGCAAAAAATAAACGGGATACCGTTCTTTTCCCAACACAAATGAATACGAAATAACGAGGCTAACGCTAAGTTGCTGAAACTCAACCTAATAGAAACGGAAATCTCTTTTCTACATGCTTGTCTGATTTTTGCGTCACAGAAACCGTTGAAAACCAAATGGCCTGGAGTGTAGGTTTTAAAATGTCCTTATTTTTCAGGTGAACAAGAAACCCTCTCAAGAAAAAGACGTTCTTCATCCGCCGGTGAATCACAACAAAAATCGACCCTAACAGCCTCTGAAGTACAAGTGTTGTTCAAACAAGAACTTTGTCTGCTGCAAAACCAAGTCTGTGCTAAAGATCACACGCTCTGCCGTGCAGGACCAAAAGGGAACACGGGTAGAAGAGGAAGACCGGGTCCCCCAGGGAGACCCAGCTCTAATGGACCTCCTGGTAAACATGGACCAAAGGGGGATGTTGGAATACTGGGAGACCCCGGTCCCGTGGGACCTAGAGGCCCGCCGGGTATGAAAGGCGACAAAGGTGACCCGGGCCAGTCCATCTCGGCTCCATCTCTGCAGCAGAACCCTGTTGGAATGACAGTCAATGAAAGTCAGACAGCTATCTTGAAATGTACAGCCGATGGTAATCCAAGACCAAAAGTCACGTGGTCTAAACTGAATTCATCGCTTCCTGTAGGTCGTCACGTGGTAGAGTTCAGTGGTGCTCTGATTGTGAAGGACATTAGACCTGGAGACGACGGTGTTTATAGCTGCAGAGCGGAGAATGTGCTGGGGCAAGTGAATGCCTCGGCGAAATTAACTGTTCAGTGTAAGTAGTTCAATTTATACGTTTGGCTTTTTAGAAGTAGAGGTTGATGCTGTGTAGCATACAGACACTTTCAAAGATAACCTATAGCTACACAATAAATATAACATGGGGATATCTTTAAGAATGGAATTTCAGAAAAAAGAAGACCGACAGTCAACAGCATATGAAGTCCTGGGGCAAGTTGTTGAAAGTGTTGCTAAAACTAACCAGACGACAAATCACCTTAAAGTGGATGGATTAGTTTATTTTGTCAACACTAGCCTACTTATCCACTGGGTAGTGATTTATCCTGTGGATAACGTTTTCTACCCTTTTAACAAGCGGCCCTTGTGTTCTAAGTCCCACTTGGTCTCGTGGCTGAAAGGCTTCAATCTAAACCGCAGACAAGAAATGTAACATAAACTACACCAGTGTGTTTTACCGAATAATCACGATTTTTCTTTTCCTTGACAGTTCCTCCTCATCTTTCATTGTCATCCAATCGATTGATGGCGGAAGAAAACCAAAACGTTTCCATCACCTGCAATGTCACCGGTTGGCCTTTTCCGCATATCACGTGGTCCAAGTCAGTTGGTAGATTGCCTGAAGATAGAAATGAAGTGATGAATGGAACCCTAACAATCTACAGTGTGACAAGAAATGAAAGTGGAATTTACATTTGCAAGGCGGAGAATATTCTTGGATCAGTAACAGACGCCGCTTTGCTCATGATATTTTCTCCCCTGAAATTCAAAGTTCGCCCTCCTCTTGAAGTGACTCCCTATGCGTTTGGATCAAGTGTTCATCTGCCGTGTGTGGCCGAGAGTGACCTGAGAACAACAATCGCCTGGACCAAGGATGGCAAGTCTTCACTTCCTGTGGAGTCTAATGTTCTACAGAATGGAACACTGCTTATAAGGAACATCAAGAAATCACACGAAGGATCCTACACCTGTAGAGCTACTAATGCTTTGACAACCATAGAAGCTAAAGTCAAAGTCAAAGTCAATTCTCCACTTATGGCAACTTCCTGTTCTGTGGTAAGAAAATACGTCAGCAGTGTAAGGGGTAATTATGTCATTGATCCAGATGGCGCGGGAGGCCTGGCACCATTTACAGTTAATTGTGAGATGAGTGACAAAAATGGAGTTGGCGTGACAGTAATTAGTCACGATAGTGAGAGTAGAATGTTGGTGGATGGATGTTATCACATAGGTTGTTACTCGCGTGACATTCATTACACTGGAGCGAGTCTTTCACAGCTGGCGAGTCTCACCAGAGTCTCATCACACTGTGAGCAGTTTATTAAGTACGAGTGTTATGATTCAAGACTGCGGAGAAGCGAAATGGCTTGGTGGGTGTCACGTGATTCTAGGAAGATGACGTACTGGGGTGGAGCATCACCTGGCAGTGGTAAGTGCGCATGCGGGATGACCAACTCACGTGCAGGTGGATATGGTTGTAACTGTGATAAGAATGATGCTGTATGGCGTGAAGACAGCGGTCTCCTCACTGACAAGACACATCTGCCAGTTAAACAGCTCAGGTTTGGGGATACAAGCGGTCCTGCTCAAGGTTACCACACACTGGGAAAACTAAAATGCTATGGCATAGCGTAAAAACTCCTNACATCTGCCAGTTAAACAGCTCAGGTTTGGGGATACAAGCGGTCCTGCTCAAGGTTACCACACACTGGGAAAACTAAAATGCTATGGCATAGCGTAAAAACTCCTCATCAGTTTATATTGTTTTAGGCTGTTTAAGTTATACATGGGAATTTCGGAAATGGTAATTATTATTTTTTTAGTGGCAATGCATTCTGACTTTTCTAATATGTAACAAACACAAAGAGCCATACGAGAACTTAAAATTGTGTCACTTAAAGGAGCTCAGTCACGGCATTTTGAGTTTGACAGACAGACAGACAATTTATTTCAACACGGTATCTCTTCAGTTACAAAGAATTGGTTTCCAAGAAAGCCGTGCTAACAAATTACTTAAAAGAATTTCAAAATTTCACGATAGAAGAAAATTACTACGCTATTGTGGAGACTGAATGTAAAATGAGATTTACGAAATGACTTAAGAGACTGTTCTGTTTTCATCGGATTTGGATGAGAATTCCATAGTTTAGCAACACGATGAGTTATTTTTGTCGTGGACAAAATTACCTTTGAAACTGAAGGAAACCTTAAAATAGTCGTTTGCTAAGATAGACAAACATCAAAGAGATACTAATAAACTATCAAGGAACAAGGATGGAGATTTAAACGGATTAAAAACGAGGAACTTGAAAATTTAGGCTAAACTTTTCAAGCTAGATGCGCAGATCGTGACGTATGTTAAAGTAATAACCTTAATAACTACAGGCACATTCGGGTTAATTCAGTATGGTGTTTTCCTATCTTAAGACACGCGTGTAATCACAAGGAGCTATGTCAGGATATTTTAAATCATTTTCCTGTAAGCAGAGCTGGTAACCACTGATGTCAAAACAGATACGACAGATCAACTTAAAGCAAAAAAAATTTTTCAAGATGAGTGATCCCTGAAATATCTGCAACTTATGAAATAAGGACACGCGAGTGCACCGTGAGATTAAAAGTTAAGGTGTGCTGTTCTCATATTATGGCTGAAAAACAAGCTTTTGCGCTTTTAACTGTAAGCATTCTTTGCCTACGACTATTTTGAGAACCTATAAGTTAATAAAGAAGTAGCTGATGCTTTGCTTGTGTGTCTATCGTGTTGTGGATGCCTTTGAAACGTTCGTTGTAGGCTCCCGGAAGATTTGGACCTCCTCCCTTGATCTGAACTCCCCTATCTATTTCCCCTCTCCCCATGAAACTAGTGGCATCCTGTGAGAGCACACATAGGCCACAAGAATGACACGAAATCCCTTTACAGGAAGCGAGATAATACGTGACGAGATCAAGAGCAATTTTCAGTGACAGACGGCATAGCTATACAGTAAGCCGTTTTATAATTACAGCTAGTACAGTTAGCTCTCTGTAATCGGTGGTGGCACTTGATAATTTAAGCACATACAATCCAGAATTGTGCAGCAATCAAGACTTTTAGGTAGTTTACTTTTGCATTGCCACACCAGCTGGGTCCTAATTAACAGATCGTTTACTCAGGTTTCCAATGTTTAGTTTGACTTGGTCTTTGTACGGAGGCAGTCTAATTCTTAAGATCAGCTCACTCTTTTTTTCTTTGCGCTGTGATATTCTCATGACGCGGTTATAAAAACAGTGACCAAACCAGGCACAAGATGCGCACGTAAAGGAAATAACTCATTTTCAGATGAGTAGAGTACATCAGCAATAGAGGGACCAAGTGACACAAGCTTCTTACCAATCATACACAGTTACCCCTCCTGACGGCTTCCCGCAATTAAAAAATAAACAAATGTCGATGGCATATAAAACCTATAAACTCCTTCTCCTCCTCCTCCTCCTCCTCCTCCTCC